TTAAATCAATTTCCAAAAGTAGGCAGTCACCTTAAGTCGTAAAACATGTTTTTGCAACATTTTGTACTAATAGGTCACTACCTTGTTTACCACGTGACCTCTTAGTGCAAATAGCAAATGGCCCCGGATCAGTTCATATTTTCCGCATCGATCCCTCGCCTATACCTTCGAATATGAGGACCATCTATTTTCAAAATGAAGCTGATTTTGGGCTGCCCGTACATGTGTTTTGATGGTCTTACCGTTGTTGGCGTGACAACTAATTCCGATCTGGTCAACCCTTCCAAAGACTGTCGATCTTGATGGAAAAACTTCAAAAACAGCAAAGTACTTTCGATACGAAAAGCAAGGATTGCGGCCCGATCAACCGTATGTACAATTCTAAAGACAGATGCTGTTAGTAAGCCATCCATGCAGTTCTTATTGAGATCCGAGACGGAGTCGACATCAGAGAGGCTGATCAACCACGATAAGGCATTGAATAACGCCATCAGGATGAACATAGCTCGACGGAATCTATGCCAGTCTGGCCCTTCTCGGATGATCATTGAACGAACTTCAAGCTTGTAGAGGCATTTGACTAGAATGACATACAAAACCATGCATTTCAGTTTAAGAGAGGACTCTTTTCGTATTCAAGTGTGTGAGCGCCAAAAACGATTTTCTTGAAGAAAGGCTGTTGTACAAGGCTAAAATCTTGTTATTCAGAAAGTTTAACTTGTTTGGAGATAACCCGATGAAAGTGGAATCAAAGTGTTAACCCAAAGCAAAAATTTGAATCGAAAATGAGGTTTAGGCCTTCATTTGCTTATTTCCCATATATTTTCTATAAAAAAGCCTGACAAAGCAACATTCTAACACAAATGCAACAAAACATCTTTGTACAATTGAAAATACCGCTTCACTAACAGGCATTTTATCATAGTACATCAGTTTCTAACTGTTTAAAAAAGGTTTTGAGTGTTAACCCAAAACGAAAATTGGGATCAAAACTCATACGAAAGTCTAGTTTTTGGCGCTTTTTGCCATTATTGCTCATTATTGAAAAAAAGTTCCTCTTAATTAGAATTACAATTTGAAGTCGTTCCGCCGCCAATGGTTCGTTTTAAGACGTGCCAGTTTGGGGGGGGGGGGGGGGGGGGGGGGGGGGGTATCGAGAGCCGGCAGTTATCACATTTCCCTAATTATCCTCGCTATCAGTTTTTCTGCCATTTTTCTGCCACCCTAATTTTCTCGGACGTATCTCCCTCCTCCCTTTTTCCCTTTCTTGTTTATTCCCCGCTGTTTTATTGTCCCTAATCCGCTTAGTACTTCTGGGTTTCAGTTTAGATTTCGTCATATCATATATAAATTGGTATGTAATAATGAAGATATGCTGACTCACTCTGACAGGATTGCTGAATGATATACATGGAGTAGTACACCAAGGTGAGTTCCCATGGTGCATAACCACTAGCATCCTTGCAGTGTGCTATAGCAATGACGTTCAAAATCACCACTATCACATTAATGATCCAAGATAACATTGCAACCTTGAAAGATGGTCCAACTTGCAAGATACGAAAATTCCCAACCATGTCAAAAGTGTGCGCTTTATGGACGATCAAGTAGACGATGAGAAACGTGGTGGGAACTAACGAACAGCACGCAATCATAGTTATTTTGAGAAAGAGTTGTTCTTCCTTAGATGTGTCCTTTTTTGTTAGCTCATCTTTATGGATCAACATCGCCACGAACATTATGAACGTGAAAGCGAGTTGAATGATAAAAAAGAGCTGTAACAATCCGAAGACTTGCTTACAAATTTTCTTCATTATTTGTAGCCTTTTTGGACTGAGTCTTGAACCAATTTTAGATCACTTAATCGAAGGAATGTAATTTCCTCTACTTCTTGTTCCAATAAAAATAGACAACAGGGGATTCCCGGAAGTCTGATGAATAATTATGCAAATGTGTTTGACAGTTTCGTTTACCACAGGAAACCCACACTTTAAAATATTTTTTGTTGGTTTTCCAAAACTTCGTAGTTTTTTAATGATAGCAAAAGAATGAATAGAATAATATTTATTTTCATTCTATTTTCTTGCTATACTAAATAAAGTTAATGATTTAATATTTATACGAAGTTCATGTCAGTGGGTAGTATTGGGGTTCCTGTGGTATTGTTATTTCAATATGGCGTCGTTGGTTACCAAACAAGAATCACTTTGTACGAGTTTGTAGAAAAGTACTGCAGAAATGTAGCCGTAATGACCGTTTATTCTTTACAAAAGTAAAATATCTATCATTTTTCGTTATGGGTACGAGTGCTAGCAGTAACAATCAAGCAAAAAACCCAAATCCGAGGTCGAAAACGAGTTTTAAACTCCCAGAAGAAAGTCGTCAAATGCTCGAGGAGTGGATGACAAATGTCCCTTTTTCTTTAACTTCATCGCAAAAACAAGTCATCTTTGATGCCGTACATCTACTAGATGTTGAAGCTCCAAAGACGTTGATAAGAAAAGGCGACGATGTCATTGGAATATTCATAGTTTTGTCAGGAAAGATAGAAGTCGTTCACGAAGGACATGTGATTAGAGAAGTACCAAATGGAGACTGTTTTGGCGAAGTGTCTTTGATGTACGGAACAAAATGTACTGCTGATGTAAGAGCTGTGAGCAGGTATTTTAATCTTGGGAATCATTTTGAGTGTGCACATTTTTCTAACCCTACCCTGGTGGGGCACCTTTTGCTACGTCTTCCCTCTCCACCCTCCCCTTTCGAAAATTAGCCAACCTTAGCACACCTCCCCAGAAAATGAGTCATTTTAATTAAAAATATTTCTTAAAGGTGTACTATGAAACATTGTTGCCTTGCAGCTGCAAAAAGAATGAATTTGCTCATAGAGTTATCATTCTGCACTCAACAAATTTTTTGTTGCTGTAAAGAGTCGAGAGAGATTCTACTTTGTGCGACAGTGAAATTGTGTTGTTAAATGAGTGCTGATAAGAGCAACATTTTGTTTGCAACTTGCAATGCAACGATGTTGCGTAACAATTTTTTACAATTTTGTTTTGCTTATCGCCTGCATTTCTTTTTGATTTGCTAGAGCCTCCCTGCTACTATTAAAAGCACAGGAAGCCCGCCAGCTATTTACCTTACCACCAGAGATCACAATACTGGACTGGTTTGTCAAAAGGTAGGGTAGAGGTCTAAAAATACTATAGTTCCCAAAGTAACAGAGTACATAAGGTTTGGGGGGGTGGGGTGGGTAGGGTAAGGAAGATTTAGTATTTGCTTTCTTCTAAAAATGTGTAAAAAAATTTGGTCCCCTCTTCTCATTCCTGGTTACTATAGCAACCTTAAGTGGCACAGGAAGGGAGGGATGCAAATTGTTCCCCCCACCTTTGGTTACCATGGTAATCATGTTTGCTTATAAAGTAGTTATTATTTTCCAGAAAGTATGTGGACACTAGTGGTTTGTTTCCAAAATCTAAACTCAGCCAAGAGATCGCATTGATTACGTTGCAAAAGGTAAATTTGAAAAACTGGATAATGTTAAACTAGCTACAACAGTTTTTCTCACAAACCACACATCATGAGGCATGATTATGAAAATGATAGACAGCAGTGAAATGCCAAATTTGAAATGCAATTTGAACTGGTGGCAGCACATAGTTATGAACATGGTGGTAATTACAGAAAATATCTATTTTTCTGTAATTAATCTCTCATAATTGGATAAATGAGTACGCATATTCTATATGGGGAAATCTCTTTTTATTTTTGGTGAATATAAAAATAAACATTGAATCATATAATAGATTCAGGAAACACAGGGGACGTACCAGTGAGAGCGCTCGCCTCTTACCAATGCGATCCTGCATTCAAGTCCTGGGTGCTCTATGAGGTATGTTAGTAGAGTTGCTTGTTGGTTCTCTCCTGTGCTTCGAGGGTTTCCAAGTTCTCTGGCTTTCCTCCCTTCACAAAAATCAACTTCTAAATTCTAATTGGAATCTAGTGGAAAAAGAGCCACTCTGTGGAATCCACTGTTAATCCCATTATTATTATTATCATTATTAATATTATTTATTATTATTATCATGATATTGTGCAGGCACCAATATTCCAGGGATGGAGGGAAATAACTCTCAAGCAGATTGTTGAGTCACTGAAAGAAAGTAAGTATTTATTTGTTGGAATCCCAGGGCTTCTTTGGAAATCCAATCAGCCTCTGTACTTGAGGCATAGATATTTTCTGGATTTGCACAATAAATTCTGTATGTATCTTATGTATCTTTTTTTTCTGTTTAATGTAGGACCATTAACAATGTACCCTGCCGGCAGCTTAATATACAGTCAGGAAGTCACAGGATGGGAAATATATCTTCTTGTTCATGGAAGGTTAGTCCATTTATTTCCAGTTATCTTTTTATTCTCTCCAACTGATAATCAATTTGGTCTTCCCTTCTATAGAAGATAAAAAATGTTTTCTCAGTTTTCCTACTTTCCTTTCTCTCTCTCTTTCCTTCCTTCATTTTATTTATTCCCTAACTCTTTTTCTTTCTCCTTCAGAGTACAGTTTTCAACCAACAACCAGGACCTTGTGGTTTTTGATGCCAGCGATCAGGGATTTTGCTTTGGCGAGGAAGGTAAATTGGCAGCAAAAGAAAGCCATACAAGAAGCCATACATTTCAATCAATAATATATGGAATTTTTTTTGAAATTTTTTGTGAAATCAACATAAAACTACTTGTTATGAATATTACAATACCAGTTATAGGATAAAAGCTGCAAATTTAGCGTAAAAACGTTTTTCGATCCGCACGATCCAGTGAACCGAAGTCCAGTCCATTCCAGCTATGCTCGGTTCCGGATTTTCCAAAATTAAAAAACCTCTCATAATTCAGAATCTAGAAACATAAATCAAATTTTAGAGGTTGGATATGTTTTTGCAAGACATTGAGATCATTCATACCCTTTCAAAAGCTGAAAATTTGATTTTTTTTTTTTTTTTTTTTATATCCAGGATCCAGTCAACCAAAGTCCTGTCCAAATCTAACTCTTTCTATACAATTCCTGATTTTCCAAAATTAAAAATCTCTTAATATCCAGGATAGACCTTCTTAACTTCGTTGTTTGTTCTCACGTTTTCACATTTCAGACCATGTGATGCCACTTTTGAGAGTGGGGGGAGGGGGGGTGCTCCCCTATATTTGCTATATGGGTAGGTGCCGCCAAACAGGGTATGGTTTTCAGAGATTTTACTCTGGAACAGGGTATGTAAAATCTCTTTCACTCTCTGGACCAGGGTATATGAAATCACACACACTCTCTGGAACAGGGTATTTATTTTTGCAAGTACCTGAAAAAGGTTTTTATATACAATCTTTCTCTGGAACAGATTATGAATTTCAGCAATTTTACTCTGGAACAGGGTCAGGGTCAAGGATCTGCAAAGTGTAGTCCCAGAAATTATCCATACCCTCCCCAGCAAGGAATTTGAAATTTCCAATGGGTGGGTTCAGTGAAAGGACAGAGTTTGTATGGAAGAAAATTGGAATTTTCAGTGGTAGCGGGAGGGGGGGTCTTTTAAAAAATTCATCTGTGGGGGAGGTATAGTCAATTCTGGAACTACACAGTTGAGACTATATGCCTGTCACCTGTCTGCTTTGAAACTGTCCACTTTACCTCTAACTACCAATAGACTCACCCAGTACAGCCTTAATATCCTATTTCTCCTGTGTTTGTATCACCTAATATTTTTCATAGCTCCGAGGTAATTTTCACTTTTTTAAAAATCATTCTCTTTCTCCAGGATTTTTTGGAAACACCAAAAGAAGATCCTCTGTAAGGTTGGTATGGTTGTCAATGGTAACCAAGAGAGGGAAAATCAACAGGTAGCCCAAAATAAAAAAAGGTCAATTCCCCAGAGTTTTACTGTGCGGATACTCCAACCGGGGCCACTTTGATAAACTAGCATCAATAACCAATCATATTGCATCATTTAGTTCAATATTTTTAACCAGCCAATCAGATAGCACATCAATATATTAAGAGCATGAGAATGTGATAATCTGATTGGCTAACACTGTTTTCAGTTCAATCTCTGTCTAGTTTACTGTTATCTGATTGGTCAGTTTTATTCAAGTGTTCCTGGTTAGTGTTTTTGCACAGTAACTGGATATTTATTTTTTCCCAGGGCTTTATCTACCTGTCAAATCATTATGCTTGAAGCAAAAAATTTCTATGATGTTCTAAGCGAGGTAAAACTATCTTTTATCTAAATTTTTTATTCTTAGTTTGTCATTCCCTTGAGTATTATTTCTTTCATTATTTTGATTTTTTTACTTGGATTAGGTTTACATAGAAAGAGCAACACAACCCTATTTCTATAATCTCTGGCACTAAACCTTTGATCTTCAAATTTTAATGTTATCCTAAAACAACCTCTGAGCTGATCTAAGTCAGGGCGTGGCTATTAAAGGGTAAATCCATAAAGACCCTTAAATTGAAGAGGAGACTGAACAAACTTTATTCACTTGTAATTACATTGAACTAAGACCCACTGAGGTCATTCTTATCATTTCAGCATCCTGCCGAGAACACTCTTTTCCAGATGATACACCATAAATGGAAAGAGCACATTGAGAAAAGGAACAACGACTTATACAAACAGTATGGAGGTGCCTTGGATCTCGAGGTTAGTTCAACTCTTCCAACCAGTAAATGGCCTAGGAATTAATGTATTACCTGATAAAAGACGGCATATTTTTTATCTTTCAGATTTTAAGGATGGCTCTTAAACAGGTATGCAAGGACAGCTTAGTAAGAAAAAACTATAGGGGGAGGGGTGGGGACTTTGCACCCCTGTTACACCCTCCTCCCCTGGGAATAATTCTGCTTTGTATGGAGGAGCTTCACCCCAGGGGGGTGGACTCCGGGAAAAAAGTACCGGGGATGCTCTTCATAAATTTTCAAAAAGACCCCTAAAAGATACCGGAAGTCTTTTAAAAAGGGCGTGGCTGAATGATTTTTAACCCCTAAGAGAAACCACAGCAAATAATATTAAATTTTATGTAAAAAGCGCCAGGGATAAGCCATATCGATGCGCACTTCTCTCCTTTTCCGACAACCTAAGAGATACCAGAAAATGCTGATTTTCAAAAATTCGCATTTAACACCCTAAAAGATACCAAATTGCAAATTTTTACCCCTAAGAGATACGACGAGCATCCCCGGTACTTTTTTCCCGGAGTCCCCCCGGGAGTTTCACAGCATGTATTTGTATCAAAATCAATTCTATTATCCAAAGAAAGAAATTGCTCACGATTGGATTTTAAAGTGTCTTTCTTTTTCGTCTTTTACAGACAGATTATCTAAAGGGCTGTCCATCTGGCTTTGTATATTCTATTGCGTTATCAACGGTTGTTAAAGAAATCCAAGAAGAACAGGCAATATTGTCACATAAACAATATTCACAAGGTACAACATGCAATACGATGTCACTACTCACAGCATACTATGGGGGGGTGGGGCAGAGTTTCTTACTTTACTGCATATGCATTTTCTCCTTACCCCCACCATGGAGGGAAATTGTAAAAGGACCCCCCTACCCCTAGGAACTTTCAATTTTCTTTCATATAAATTTTGTTAAAAAATTTTCTTCTCTGACCCCCTCCCGTCCAGAATTTCCAATTTCATCCATGGGGGGTATGCATATTTTCTGGACATATACATTAAATTTTAGCTTAATCAGATACATTATAACCACAGGGCCACATGTTAGATAACTTTCTGGGTTAATTGTCACCCTCCTTAAAGTGCTACTACGACGAAAATCGCTCAAACTTGGATTCAGCTGAAACTTCCTAAAAATACTCTTTAAAGGTCCAATAATCACTGTATGAAG